GGCGGCGGCGGCGGCCCGGAGGCGCCCCAGACCAGCACCCCGCAGAAGGGCAGGAGAGGATGGCCAGGAGGGACCGCCCGGAGCGCAGCAGCCGGAGGAAGTCCTGGAGCTTCGGAGCCCTTCCGGGAATCTGCCCTGGAGACTCCTTCTTCGCCACCCTGGACACTTTAAGCTGCGGTGGCGGCAAACGTCTCCTGCTTGTCAACCGGACAGCCAGCCTGCCTCCCTCGTTTGGATGTTGCTCTGCCCTCCGGAGATGGCAAGTAAGCGCTAAGTGTCCGACCCGAACACCCCCTGCAGGTAGCCGGAGCTTCGGGCCGGCTTGGTATCCCGGTGGGGAGAGCTGGAGTGAGTGTGTGTGAGCGCCTGTGCATGTGTGTGCGCGTGTGTATGCGCGTATGTGTACACACAGGCTCGGGTCTATATTGCCAAAGCTACTCTAGCTGCATTCAGGGACTGAACACCTATTACCCCCCCACTCCGCCCGACATCGCTACCCCCCTCCGAGAAAGGCAAAGGAGGAGAGAGCGCTAGGAGGCAGGGAAGGCAGGAGGGAGGGGAGCAGCTGAAAGGCAGAGGCAGGCACTGGGAAATTAGAGAGCTTTTCTCTGCTCTGTCACACCAGACACCCACAGCCACAGAGGGGGTTGCTGAGCTGCCTGCAAGAACTACATTGTAAATCTTAAGCGAAACAAGCCCCGCAGTCACCCCTCTCCCGGAATCTCAAGCCCCACCACGCTGTCCAAGGGATTGGTAGAGCCTTTGGAGGTGAACCCCCTAGAGGAAAAGAAGATCCTGTTGGAGAGATTTGGCCTGTGTGAGATTTCGCATCAGGCTCACCAGAGGATTTGGAGATTTGTATGTAAATTGAAATAAATTCTCCATAGACTGTCGACATGTATTATGCAGTATGATATGTGCAGGTGTGCAGTACTAAATTGTGGTTAGCAATGAAGCATTGGAGTCCTCTGGCTGTACAAGCTAGAGAGAGGAGAATTTCCCTCCCATATCTTTAGATTTGAGAAATTATAAAAGCATAATACCTAAACATAACATTCAGGACCATAAACTTGAGACAGAAAAAAACGGGATCAGAGCCGCAATACTTTAGACTTGCTCAAACAGTGAACAAAGCAATGCTACAATTGGTCAAGTTTTTTTTTTTCTCCACTTCACCAAGTCACGATTACTTTTGTGCAGTTTTCCAGTGTTATCTTGAAGATGGTTACAAAAATCTGGTTAGAAACAAACTTTGTTAAGAATGGTTATCAATAGGCAATATTTATCAACAGCACGGAGCAGCGCATTGGTGGAAGTTCTGAATGGTGGTACAGAGTTCCTATGAGCGTACATGGACTCTGCAGGAACTATTCTAATTGGAAACATATTCAGAGAACAGCCCTTCCCAAATTAACATCCAGAAGCAGGGGTCTGGTGTTTAATAAAGCAAAGTGTTATTGGCTTTAGAGTCAATCAAAACATTTTTCACAATAAGAAGAGAATGAAAGAATTCCTTTTATAGGTTTCTTTCAAGTCTTCAAATCCTGAAGGCATTTAAAATGAATAGATAGTTATAATTAAATTTAAAGTGTACTGATTATATTTATGTTCAAAATTATTTTCCTTACAAAAAGCAGTATATAGCGCTACTGGAGACCTGAAAATGTACGATTAAAATGTTGTGTTTGGCTTTAAAATATGACCAAGAGACAAGAGATCCAGTACACATCAACTTTGTCCTAACAACAATTATAGAAATGCAACCCATCTTGCTAAATCTCTTTTCCATTTTTTCCCAGATGGAATACATGCCCAACGCTATACATTCTAAATGTCCATTTAAGCTGCTTTAAAATGATGAAGAAAAAAATGTACTAGGGTGGTTTTTTTAAAGCATGTTGTATGTGGGCCGTTAGCAACAAACCAAAGGAAAATGCCACATTCTGTCAAGTTACTTTTTTCTGCTCTGTTTTTAAATCTCTGTGCTCTTGCTGTCCATATGTATCTGGCTACATGCATTTTAAGAACCAAGGCGTTTGTGTTACTTATTTTGTTTTCGCAGTATCACACAGCAGGGGAAAGCAATGGTGGGACCTGTATCAGATCACCTGACCGCAGGTTTTAATCTGCCAATTCAGGTTATTGATCTGAAGTCCATGGATTATCACATGTTGATGATCAGAAAGGTCTGGAACCATTCCCCTGGGGTCTGAAAACCACCACCTAAATGAAGAAGTTACACACTCGGTGATCATTAAAGTATTTCTCTAAAGTGCTATTAATCATGAAAAGATTGGACATATTTCTGTTCTTTATGTCTTTTCAGTGTGTTCATGTTCTTCTCAATGCTACAAGGAAACTCTCAGATGTTTTGAGCTAAAGAATATATATGTACCAATTAGTAAAGACTTTACTAAATGTGATTGAATTAGTAAATGATTTTTTTTTAAATTCAAGTACACTGAACATGACCTATTAATGCACTGATTCCCCAAATGTAGCCACACTCAATAAATTGACTATCAAGGTCAAGTGTTTGAGTATTTCAGCCTTTCATATCAATGTTATAAAAGCATCCTAGTGAGGTTTTTTTGGTTTTATGGTGTTGTATTTTCTGAAAGTATTATAGCATCCTCAGAAGCAGGATCTTTGGGAAAATAGTAATATCTTCTTAGAACCTGCTATTCCTATCCTGTGTTTCTGTTAGATTGTGCTTCTAACAAAAATATCAAGAAACAATACCCTGATATTTCGACCAAGGAATATTGGTGTTATGAGCCGTCTGTGTTGTGAGTCACTGGAATAAAGACACTTGTGACTGGGCCAGTTCTAGAGCCATGCATTGCCCTAAGCAGAGGAATAGAGCATTCCAAGTACCTGATGCTTTCTCTCAGAAACACATTTATTTGTTGAAATAATATTATGATTTTCCAGTGAAGTCAATTTTGTGGCCCTATTTGACTTGTAAAAATGGGAACAGTCTGAATATTTAATATTCATGAGTCCAAAGAGAAGTTATTTTTAATGAAATGTATACTTCACCTTGTCCCTATAAATGATCAAAATGAACTGCCTTCACTGAAGGTGCTGGCTTCAGAGTAGAGGCCTTATTCTTTAATTGTTTACACCTGAACTCTCTTTGCTCTCCTTTGGAAACTGGTTTGTATGTAGAGGTGCAATTTAAGTGCCCTTGGGTACTCAGCCCCTTCAAGTGCAATTACTAGTTCTTATCCAGAAGCAGCAGTTGCTCCAGAGAAAGAGCTAGATAGATCCCGAGTCTGCCCCAGCTCCTTACACAGCCTAAGTCCAGTGACTGAATGAGCTCAGTTTTGGGGTGAGTTAATGTGAAGAAGTGGGACTAGGCAAACTCTTCTAGTGCTTAACTTTTATGAAAGACTTAGAAACTGATATACTACCCTTTCTGCTTTCAGTACATTTCTCAATTATCTCCATTGAGAAATTTTTTAATTTTACCTTTTTAATGGGTAAAGAGATGCTACAAAATGTGGTTAATAACAAATCTGATATGGATTGAATTGTACCCCCTCAAGAGAAAATGTGGAAGCCCTTATCCTTGTATCTAAATGTGACCCTGCTTGGAAATGAGGTTCTTCAGTTAGGTCAACAGGGTACTGCAGGAGGAGAGAGGATTGTGATTCCTTCTGAGAGACGGTTTCTCAAAGAGGAGAGCAGACAGAAGGTAGAGACACACAAGGAAGAGAGCCGCCATGTAAAGATGCTTTTCAAAGCCCAAACACTGAGAAATGCCCAGGGCCTGCCTGAAACTGGAAGAGAAAAGGAAAGATCTTGCTCTAGAGCTGAGGGAACATGGTTCTTCCAATACCCTGGATTTGAACTCCTAACCTCCACAACTAACTTCAAGACAATCTCTGTTCTTTAAAGCCATCTAGGGAATGGAAGCTCTAGGAACTAAGACACAAAATTGTAGTGGGGCAGTGAGGAAGGATAAAACTTTCCCTAGACTGAATACTTACCTGGCAGGGGAGATACCATGATCACGAAGGTGGTTTTCCCAGGGCGAGGCTTATCCATTGCACTCCGGATGTGCTGACCCCTGCGATTTCCCCAAATGTGGGAAACGCGACTGCATAATTTGTGGTAGTGGGGGACTGCGTTCGCGCTCTCCCCTGATTTAAAAAAAAAAAAACTTTCCCTAGACTGGCAGTTAAAACAGGGTCGATACATGTGCTGCGAGGGATGATTTCCTGAAAAGCACACGTAATTGGAGACCATGCTGACGATGAATAAGGAGAGTCT